TCAGACCCAATCCCAGTAAAGAGACCTGGAAAGGGGGGGGTCAGACCCAGTCCCAGTAAAGAGACCTGGAAAGGGGGGGGGGGTCAGACCCGGTTCCAGCCCAGCGAGGGCACCCGGGCTGGGCCGTGTGGCCCCACCATGATCAGGGGTCTTCACCATGATCAGGGGTCTCCACCACGATTGGGGGTCTCCTCTGTGAGTGGGGGTCTCCACCGTGACCCCCCCCATGCTGTTCTCTCCCAGACCAGCCCCCCCGAGGTCCGTGAGGAGCTGACAGAAAGTGAGGAGAGTGAGGAAAGCGTCTACTCGGGGCTGGAGGACTCGGGCAGCGACAGCAGCGACCCCGAGGAGGAGGAGAAGGAGGAAGAAGAGGAAGAAGATGAAGACCCCGGCAGTGCTTCCCCCCCCAAAACACAAGTAAGGGCTCTGTGACCCTCTGATATCCCCCCTGGATTTTGGGGGGGTGTCTCTCTGCTCTCTGTTTCAAGGGAGGTGAGGAGCAGCATCTCCTGGTGCTGAGGGACAGGCGGCTCTGGGGGTCCCATCCCACCTCCCCGAAAACACGGGCAGGGAGAATCCAAGTGCTGATTCCAGCCCTGCTCCAGGCACCTCTTCTCCTGGAGGAGGAGGAAGAGGAGGGGGTGTGAGGAAGGCTCTGTGCCCAGGGTCTGTGCCTCCTCCCAAGTTGGGAATTGTGGAGGAAAAGCCAAATCAAACCTTCCAGAGCCTGAGGGCAGAAAAAAGCAGGGAATCCCACGAAGCCAGGACAAGGCAGGGAATTCCCAGCCCTGGGCCCCGGGAGGGGCCAAAGGCACAAAAATAGGGAAAAGTGTTGGGATTTAGCAGGACAAAACCTCTTCCTGAGGCTGATCCAGACTCCTTCCAGGGCCTAGAGGAGCTGGAGAGGGATTTGGGACAAGGGATGGAGAGACAGCACACAGGGAATGGCTTCCCAGGGTTAGGTGGGATATTGGGAAGGAATTCCTGGCTGGGAGGGTGGGGAGGATCTGGGATGGAATTCCCAGAGAAGCTGTGGCTGCCCCATCCCTGGGAGTATCCAAGGCCAGGTTGGATCACCCTGAGAAGGTGAGGAAGGGGGTGTGAGGGAAGCTCTTCCCGTGCCAGGCTCCCCATTCCTGCCCTGTTGGCAGCTCTGCCGGCTCCGGGATAAACGGGATAAATTCCCTTTGACCGTCAGGGAGGGAAATGTCGGGCTCCTGACGTGCCCTGGAGGGGCTGGAATTCCCTCTCCCACCCTCAGGAGCTCGGGGACGCACCGGGCTGGGGGGGGGGGCACGCGCTGGCACTGCAGGACAGAGTCGGAATTCCGGGATCTCTGAGCTTGGATCACCGGGATCCTCCAGGATCCGGGTCTGGCGGCACAGGGGGTGGTTTGTCCTGCTCTGGGCTTTGCCTGGGAAGATTCTGGCTCGGATCCTCTTCAGTCCAGGCTCAAACTTGAGCCCTGTCTTGGTGCTCCCACGTCCTGTCCCTCTGGAGATCCCGAGGGATGCCATGGGATCGTCCCTTGTAGAGATCCCTGTTTCCCTGAGGGTGGAAACCTCTTCAAACACAGCCAAGGATGAGCTAAAATATGGAGTTCAAGCCCTAAAAGTGCCACTGGTCCAAGAGACCGGTTGGGATCTAATCCAGAAAGAATTCTGTGGCTTCATCCCAGCTCTTTTTTTCCAAGCCTGGCCTAGGGTTTGTCCCAAAATATTGGTGTGGAGGCACTGGGAAGAGCTGGAATTGCTGCAGGTTGGTGTTTCCACGTCTCCAGGGGAGTGGAGGAGGGAAGGGCCCGGATTGCAGTTCAGGCTGGAGCTGGCAGGGCCGGGAATTTGGGAATCCAGACCCTTCCCAGCTGAGGCAAATGAGTCAGGAAGTTCCTCAGCCTTTTCCTCATCTTTTGTCCCTGTTTCCCTCCCCATCCCATGAAGGATGGAGCTTCCCCTTGTCCCCCTTTTTGTTGGCAATGGATTCAGAGAAACATCTTCAACTGTGTTGTAGCAGCATCCAGAATAATTCCAGCTGGGATTTGGCCCTTCCCATTTTCTCCCGGGCCAACCTTGAGACATCCTTTTCATCCTGAATTTCTGCCCTCCTTCCAAAGGTCACAAACCCTCTGTTCCCAGGGATCCCACACCACTCCAGGGCTGTTCCCAGGGATCCCACACCACTCCAGAGCTGTTCCCAGGGATCCCACACCACTCCAGAGCTGTTCCCAGGGATCCCACAGCATTCCAGAGCTGTTCCCAGTGTTCCCAAACCACTCCAGAGCTGTTCCTGGGGATCCCAAATCCTTCCAGGGCTGTTCCCAGGGATCCCAAATCCTTCCAGGGCTGTTCCCAGGGATCCCACAGCATTCCAGAGCTGTTCCTGGGGATCCCACACCACTCCAGAGCTGTTCCTGGGGATCCCAAATCCCTCCA